ATGGAAGGACTTGGCTAATTTTTCTTACATGGTGAGTTTCCGTAATATCAAATTTACTCAAAGTCTTTCATTATCAATAATTTCAGATTTGCAAATCTGGGACACTTCTGGTTGAAAACTTTCCATATACTTAAAATAAGGAATATCAGCAGTTTAGTATATCGCTACTTTGGATGAAAAGCGGCACATCTCGAAAACCACTAATTTAGAGAAAAAAAGCCCTAAGAAGATTTAACCGAAGTTTAACTGTATATGAAGGACGTAATTAATACACATTACTAATACCTTTCCACATAAAAATGTGCCACCATTTCGTTTTGATCATGAGATAAACGAACAATTGTGATTTTTAAGCTATGGCGGTTTTCTAACTACTTTGCCGGTTCTCTTGCAAAATAGTGACACTACTTTGGAAAACAAAACGACATAATTCAAAAAATTTTGATTGTTCTCTCATTTTTGAATCAGTATAAAAATGTGATAGATTTTTAAGTGGAAGAGCGTCGCTAATGGAAACGGTGTCACTAATGTTTATTAGTAAAAAGTGTCACTAATGTTTATAAGTTCCCCTCTGCATATTCAGTTAAACATCGGTTGAATCTTCCTGGGGGACTTTCTCTAAACTGGTAGTTTTCCAGCTGTGCCACTTTTATCCCTCTTTAAATAATTTATTTTTTTTTATCTCTGCATTTAAAGATCACGAAAAAGCGTTTCTTCAGGAGTACAAATAAAATCAGACAGCCATGATTTCCTCAAGCACTATGTTTATTTAATAATTAGTATCAAAGCAATAAAACTTTTGAAATTTTCAAGTATTCTATTTAAAAGATAGGTATGCATCAAGTATTGTAAATTAATTATTTGGCAGAATATAAAGTTCACACTTTCTTAGTAAATTTTGCCGAAGCATTGATCAAAATTTGATCTTACACAAAGATAAACACAGTTGAATCATTTCTAGATTCCACTTTCATTAAACAGAAGTATTTTACATCATTCTTTATAAAAAGAATGCAAACTGCATATCAGTACCCTTCCGAAGTTGCAATAAATAAATCATGATACATTTGAAAACCTAATTTAAAGGAACACATCATGAGAATTTGATGAGTTCTAAAATAAATGCTAGAATGGAAGTTCTAACACTCTCAAGTCAGAAATCAAGCAATTTATACAAGCATAAATTTGTAGCAGATATATATATATATATATATGTGTGTGTGTGTGTATGTATGTACAATTGTTGCAAACAAATCTATCGATTAATATATTACAGTGAAGACCAGTTTCTATATTGTAAACAAACTTAAGAGTATGCCAGATCACTGAGTTTAAAAGCAAGGCACTAATCTGAAACATAATCAACGTAGAAAAGTTTAGCAGAATAAATCGCATTGGCATTTGCAATATATTTTGAAACTTGAGGTATATATATATCCTTCGACTCAGGTGTATATATTCCTTTGTTTATATATCCTTCGATTAGTATGGTTATGAGTTACATAATTCATATCCAAGTATACTTATCTAAGCCCCCTTTTCTGTCTTCAATATTTAATCTCTTTGCCTTTAAACTTTCTATTAACAATTAACTCTTGATTCATTTAGTTATACATGTTTAAGCAGGTAAGGATGCAGATATAGTAATTACGTTAACTCCGTGCATATTTGCCTGGTGTAATGAATTTAATGGGTTTTAGATTTCTGGGAACATTTTCAGATAAATATAAAATAAAATCATAGATAAAATTTGTTTGCTTTTAAACAGATCTTTTGCTGTAACCACACGCAGAGCTAAGGTATATCAGCACAGTCGTAATCCTCATTAGCAAGAATTAAGCTTCCTAATCCTGAAATACAAGTAATCCTGAAAAACCTTCCAGATTGGAAAAATCAAATGTTTTGTCATTTTGTCGTCATTTTAATTATTTATCGGTTGGCGAACCACTGAATTTAAAGACTAACCTACAGAAGCACTGAATCTTTGAAAACATTATTTTTGCTGAAGTTCAGCAGAAGCGTTGTAGAGTCATTAGGTCAATTGAAAGCAGAAAAAATGAAAAATATGCGAGCGCCTTCGCCGGGAATCGACCCACGCATAACGGCCCAGCGTGCAGAACCACTACACCACGAAGGACGATAGGAAAGTGGGAGAAATACCTTTAAGCGTTCATTCAAAAAATAAATAAATAAAAGCAGATTTTGCAATTTTAGTCGTGCTTGGGTTACCAATTTCATCTCAACACAGTCCTAATTCTCCCTATTTCAATTTTCTGAAAAGAACTCTTAAATAATACTAGTTCTCCATATACTTACTTGCTTTGATTTAGAAAGCTTAAAAAAATGGGTAAAAAATTTGAATATTACTTTTATATAATTTTTAAATGTTGTGTGAAATTACCTTGAGGAAGTGAACTTCAAGATTAGAAGTGCACACATCAAATTTGTATTGTTAAACTCATTTTTTATTAAACACAATTTTAAGATTTTGATTTAATTAAGAACTTTAAATATCTTGTTTCTAATTATAGTAGTTCGCTTCTTATTATAAATCTCATACGAAAGGCTTGCGAAGGTATTTAGATTTCATTATTTTAGATATATTTATAAATATATCTAAAATAATGATAAAATTTCGCAAACTGGAAAATAAAAATTAATTTTCAAAAATTGTAATTTCCCAATGAAATTTCAAAACATGTTATTAAAGCAATGAAAGTATAACTGAAATTTATAGCTAACATATAATAGTTTTGCTCTGGAAGAACTTATATATATAAATTTATCAGAAATGCTCCTAAAATAATGATAAAACATCTCAAACTAGAAATAAAAATTATTTTACAAAAGTTTAGAATTTTGGAGTGAAATTACTGAACCTGTTATTAAAGCAATGAACAAGAAATTAAAATTTTGCCTAACTTTTATTACTTTCGTAGAAGTACTAAAGAGAGAGTAGCGGATTATGACACTGAAACTACGACGTTTATTTTAAGACTGGCCAAAAGGTATCATTTCAAATGAACATTCGTCACTAAGTTCCGTTTTCTCTTAGTTTTATAACTCTCAAAGCTGCTGTAATGCCATTTCGGACATATAATTTTGATAAATTCTTCAAATAGATGGCTGCCCTCTAACTAGGATTTAACTCAGTAGCCAGAAGTACTTTTTTCGATGCTTTTACGTGTTGTTTGCTGCTTTACTTGAGTCCAATCACTTTAAATTATCCGCAATTATCTTTCTTGAAATAGGCAAATTCGCGAGTCCGAAGCCTTCAACGTAATCATGAAATTGTTTGATTTAGAAATAATACCCTATAAATATATACGGCTGTTTATGTGTGTATGTTATACAGCTGCAGTAATTTTATAAAGTAAAATCCGCTTGGTATTTTTACTCGTAAATTCTATATTTCATTTCAGTCTGCAAAGTAATTATTGATTTACAGGTGATACTTTATTTCTGAAATGAACTTTAAAAATGTGCTACCAGAATTATATTTTTAAGTACTGAACTTTACTGCTTAAGGTAAGATATAAGTGATGAAAAGGAATGGCAGATATATATATGAAATCAATATATTTATTATATTGTGTTTACATAGCTGGAAAGTCGGCAGAGTGACAGCTTTATATCTCGTTGTGTTAAGGGTTTGGGAACGAAAGACTGTATCGAACGCTTGCGGCCGATGTTTCAGATATGCGCGCCAAAATTACGGAACGCAAGTGGCAAAATCGAAGTGCTCACACCTGTGAAGCTTCCGAATGTACGGAATGATAGTTTTAAGTAGTAAATTCCACCAACTATCTAAACCAAAATCATATCCAGCATTTAACACACTGAATTTGTATATTACGCATCGTTCTGTTTAATCACTTCTTTCCTGGAAACTCTGTTATGTTAAGTCTAGTTACAGAGTATTATTAAAAGAGAAAAAAAAAATACGCGACAATAATTTATAAAAATATCAAATGGAAGGTATGGCAATGAGACTAGACAAGCTATTTAGTGCAGTTTTTCCAGTATCATATAAACTGACGTAGATAATGACTTGTGTCACATAGCTCAACAGTCACAATGGCCCATCAGTTTGCAATGAAAATGGCTTTTTTTTCGTACTTTCAAGGTCATTTACATGATGCAACAATTGCAGTTTGTGTGTTGTGTTGTCTGGAACTTGCATCTTTTGAACAACAGCCTAAGTAGTTAAAATTCTTATACCAACCGTAAGACGCTTACTTGAACATATTTTTTTTTCTTTAATTTTGAATACAATTTAAAATGAAAGTAAGAAAAATATTCCTTTTCAATGAGTTACAAAATACAAAACGCTTCCTTTAATGCAGATGTAACCATTCTGTAGAGTGAATCACAAGATACGTAGTAAGCGCCTATATCAACGATGAAATGCAGGGGTGGGGTGGGGAATCTTGGAATATTTATTCACATATCCCTTCTTGATTTCAACACTATATATTTTAATCTTTAATCTTTTGGTTATATATTTATATATTTAGAATTAGTTTTATATATTTAGAATCGGTATATTTATGTTGTAATATTATATATATATATAAGATAAAACAAAATATGACAGCTGTTTCAAAAAAATAATTGGCGACCTCAAAATTAAAATTCTAAATTTGGTGATCTGCCCCTAAATTCATCTCTTCTAACAGGTACCAGATTTTTCTATCTTACGTGACGTTTTAATGCAGATGCCTCTTGTCCAATCAAATTCATTGTAAACCAAAACTCTGAACTGAAACTTTTCCGCCTTCCACCCTTCCTCCTCTGAAATTTTATGATACTTTCCCCTTTTTCCCGCTTGATGAGTTCTGAATTAGGGTTTCAGAAAAAGGAGATTAAATTTTATATATATATATATGTATATATTTTTTTTCCTTTTCGCATTTTTATTTTTCGGGTGTATTCTGCTGATAAATTCTTATTTTAATTTTGACTTGTTCTGAATACAGTGTTAAACCTCTTATTCATGGTTGCAATTATTAATATTGATGGGGATTTGTCTTGTTTTGATTCCAATTTAATTTTAACTTTAGACGATTTAAGTATAAGCTGAAGCTATAGCACAGGAATATTTAAAAATTTTGTTTTTAATTTTTAGCCTATTGCTACATTTCTTATATATATATATAATCACAATAACGTATTAGTGGTACTAGTCGAAGGATATCTGTAAGCTATATAAAATATTTTGCATTAGTAACTCTGCAAATTAATTGAAGATATTTTGTAATTACGTTTAAACTCCGTCTTCACTGTCTCATTGAAATTTATATTAATCGAAAGAAATCCAAAAATTCTTATAAAAACATTCTATTTACAGTTAGACACCAATTTCAGCATTTTTATCAGTTTAATACTGTTTAGTACATCACAAATTTATATGAACAAACACTGTATAAATTGCAAAGTAGATGAGATAGTAGAATTATTTGTTTCAGCAATCATCCAAAACACGGAACTTGTGAAAAGATGAGATTTTTATTTGATCGTTTTTTAAAAAACAGTTCACAAGATAAGTGAAGTAATTTGGATAACAGAAAATAATATATCTGTAGAAATAATTTCTTGGTACTACATCTTCTTCAATGCTTTAATATACTGACCTATTTATGCAATAACGTATACATATCTGCAAATACAGGGTGTTCCGCTTAAAAATTTTACTCGTAAGGTAGAAAAAGAAACCATTAAGATACAAATCACTTGTTGAGACACAAGGAAACCAATCGTTAAGATACAAAATACTGGCTCTAAATGGCACTTTGTAAGCAAATTTATAATTTAAAACCGCCTAATTACGTTTACCTACAGCAAGATCATGATATAGAAATACACAGAATCCTTATCTGCTATTCGAAGTAATATTCTAACAAGATGAGACCCTTTGAGGATGGTGTTCAACATCATTAATGCCATTTCATATATGGCTTGGAATTGTTATTAATTGTACAGTGGAGGTTCATTTATTGTTGCACTATGATCTATGTTTTTTAATGACGCAATATGTATCTGGTAATTATAAACTTTTAATGCAGCTTTTTTATTTATTGAGTCTTTTATTGAAACTAGAAGCTTTATTAGATTTTTTTAATAACAATGCTTTCCAATAAATGGCACAAATGGAGATCAGTGTTGATTACTGCTTTGCTAGTACCGCGGCTCGAACTCGGAACTTTCATGGATATATCCTGACACCTTAAAAGAATAAGGCAAAAGTTCACGTTAGTCTCAGACATTAAGGAAATAATGTTTTGATTTTCCTTGGCGAGTGAATTCACTGTAATAAGTTGTTCAAGATAAACAGTCTTGAATTGTAGCTTTTGAGAAAGCGGATCTAAACTATATTGGTTCGTAATCATGTAGATATGCACACGAAAAGCTGTGCAATACTCATTTAAGACTACGATTGCTTCTCAGTGCGGGAAATTAAGACATACTAAAATTCAATTATTTGCCACACCACTGATAGGACGAGCGTTTATGGGCATTAGACATTTAAAATGCTTTAGATATTTCACGTCTGGAATGCATTTTACATAATGTTTAGGTATGAAAAATGTATGTCACTAACAACTCAGTTGAGAGAGCTGAAAAGCTGTAAGCTGTAGAGCCGAGAGAATGTAAAGCTGAGCTTGCACATGGATCTCTTTTTTTAATCTTGTAAACGGAACATCGTGTATTTTACAGTAATGTAAAAATTAAGTTACACAGTTACCAGTATACAGATAATAAGTGTTTATTATTATTACAGATAATGAGCGTTTATTTTTGTGTTATAACAAGTGTTTCCAAAACTTACATATTAAGATATGGTCTCAAACAGCTAAATTATGCCAATTCTTTTTTGTTCAGGAGATACTAACAAATGTGATCATATTTAAAGAGCTTCCCTTTGTGTTTTAAAAAAGATTAGAAGCACTGTTGAAAAATATTTTTCACCTCATTGTAAAATTTATACTATTTACATCGAAGAAATAATCTTCGAAGGAGCTAAAACTTTTCCCTCTTCGTAATGAAAAAAAAATTGAAGTAATCTTTGAATCAGATTTTTTAATACTTTACATAGTAAGAAACACAAACCATGTGTGGTTTTTTTTAATGAGTTAAAAACTTTAAATTTATTTTTAAATTGAAATTATATTTATTATGACTTATTATCAATTATTATTAAATTAAAGAAATAAAAAAATATTTTTAAATTGCATCTAACAATGCGCAGTGCTTACTTGAATAGAAATTTTGGATTCTTTTCTGTTTCGAAAGTAATTTAGCTTACTTTTTAATCGTATTCTTTCGTATTTAATCGTATTTACTTTTTAATCGTATCTATTCGCCCATTAGTGCATCATTAAAGATAATCTATCTGTTAAATAAAGACAATTACAAGCAATTTTATTCTTTGAATAGTATGTACATTTTTAAAGCAATTTGTTTAAATAATAAGAAAGTAAATTTCTAAATTGTGAACCGTAACAATAATAATAAATAAAAAGATCCCTTTTGTGCACTGAGCTTAAAGTATTGTATTAGTTTTTTTTTTTTTTTTAAATTTACTTAAGCATATCTACCACTTAGAAATAAATGCCATTTGTTAAAATTGTGAGCACCTTTATATGGAATATAATCATTGCAGTTATTATCGAATTCACACACTGAAAAATATATTTGTTTTCTATCTTAAGACGTTGTGGAAGACGAATCTTAGTATTAGGTGTCAAGTAATATATGTGTTATAACGCAAAAGAAATTTGATCTGCAGATGCATATTGAAGTGAAAAAAATAATCGATATCCAAATATAAGAAACAAAATTTCATGTAGAGTGATGCTTTAAGTTTTCGAATATTCTATAGTCAACTCCCGATTCACCGAGCTAATATCGTGGATTACATTCAGCTAAATCAAAATCATGGTTAATTCGTGGTTCTGAGTTAGATTTAGACCAGTTAAGAAAATACCAAAAGAAAACGATTAATCTGCATTGTAATTAAAGGGAAAATATATGTATGTGTATTGCACATCTATTCTTTATTTTAAACAGCCTAATCTCAGTCATAAGTTTATTTAAATGCGTAAGTTAAATGAGTATTCAAAAAATTGTTATAGAAGTAGAAAGCAACATTCAAAAAGACTTTGAGCAATGTTATTAATCTCATACTCGCATGACTGTCGGCTAGAACATTTTGTTCCTTGACAGAATTAACATCATCGACTATCACTGCTGATATTCAGGTAATTTTTCTTCCCAACTTTTTTTTTTTTTTTTCTTTTTTAAATTTTCGGTAGACAGTTTTGCTTTGCTGAGAAAAATATTTTTTTTATCATTTGCCATAAATAAGCTTTTGTTTTAGACAAAGATGATTAATTCGCTATGTTTTTAATCCAGCCCTTGTTAATCAGGAGTTGAGTTTATAGTACTTAATAAAATATTTACAAAAGGAACATGGTGGCATTATAATCTCATCTAACTAGTGTATTTCCATGTGAGCAAATTTATAAGAACTAAAAAAGGTCATCCGCCATTTTGCTTTATAGCTTAATAGTGCAACGACTGTGAAAATCGATTACTCCTTATGTTGCAAGTTAAGTAACAATTTCGTGTTTTCTACTCGTCTACATATCTACGTGTCCAAATTGGACGTGGCTTAGCTGCCAAGTAAGGGCCGACAGGAGCAAGGAAAGGGATAAAAATAAATAATATTAATTGATTTAGCTCGAACTAGGATGATTGAATCATGCAACGTGAAAACCTTCGATAGGGATCCTATCATCATACAGCGAAGGTGCCTGTAGTAGAATTCCGCAAGTCCCGACGAGAGAAGCTATGGTGAAGATCCAAAGGAAGAGACGGTCCAGAACCATAGCTACATACTTCCAGTCTTCGACAACCTGAAAACAGAAGTGATATATTTTAAGGAAAATTGTGAAGAGGACAGTTGTTCCGAGAATAACGTGTATATGAAAACCTGGGCTAAATTTTCCTAATCAGTAGCATGAATAAAATTTAAACAAGTATTAAACCCCTTGGGATATATGTTAAACTACCGAAAACTTAAAGACTCTTACCATGTTTATTTGCGTATTTCCACCTTTTTTTTTGCTTATTTTATTGTTCGAAAATCGAGAGGGAAATTTTATTCGACTAGTACTGGGTAACAGCAGTTTCGTTTTCTTATATCTGTTACTTGTTTTTGATTAGCCTTTGGCCTCTGAATCCAAAAATAACATGAGTTTGTTTTTCTATCACATCAACTTTTTAAGCTACAGGATACCTTCTCTTTTTCTCAAAAGTCATATAAAACATACATATAAAGGGAATAAAGGGAAAACGTAACCAAATATCCATTTCACAAAGAATAATTTTATTTATACAAAGGCTATATCTAGTTACTGCATGTTAAATTTTGTTCATACAGATAGTAAAGTTTTTTTCTTTATCTTATAGCTTTTCTAAAATATTTAGTCTGTGGACATTCTCGCTTCATGTTCTAACAATAGTCAGCCATGATATGCACATTTTATCTATCTTGGTACCGTGCCTCCATAACCTTCAAATCTTGGTGGAATCGTTCACACTACTCATCATTGACTTCACCAAGATTTTTTCGGGAAGTTATCAAGAAGCCTGTGTAAAAAATGCAATTTGATGTTCATGTTTCAACCAAGCATTTTGAAGCTCTTCAAAAATTGCTGGACACTTTCGCTGTAATTCTGTGCATGTGTATTTCTAAGAAGGTCTTTGACAATATCTTTGTATGCTAACCAAGCCTTCTTTTGAAACTCTCTCACTATTCTGTAAAGGGATGCTATATCTGTGGACCATCGAAACACCCCCTTTTATCTTTTCAAATGATAATGTCCAATGGAAATATTTGAAACAGCCTCCTCCGGTTGGCAAAGCTTTAACAAATTGCTTCATGGGGCTTAAGTTTTATATGCGGAGGTGGAAATAAAATGGGAAATATAATGTTTTTCTGTCGACAAGTGGCTAATGTAGAGAGTTTGAATCACTAATTTTCAAGTCAGATCCTGCAGGCCAATTCGACTACAACCAATGATTCTCCCAAACACTGCTGTCCATATATAAAAAACAGGGATAATAAGCATATCAGCATTACTCGTCAAGGAGGAAATAAACATTTTAAAATCAACATAGATTATCATCATATGATATTGAAAAAATAAAAGACTTCTCTTTATGTCTTCGTATCCTTCACAGAAACAAACTGATTGGTCTATTGAGACGGAACCAAATAAATTCCATTGCAGGTGAAGACGCACTTCAAACTCCGCTTTGAATTTTAGATGAAAAATCGTTATTGAGCAGCGTTACAGACTGAAATTCCCAACTTTTCTACTAAACCGTGTGCGTTATGGCAATACATAAATCCATCATCACTTCTATATAGCAGAAATGCACCTTCTCCTGGTCGAAAATAAGATAATCAATTGGACAGGAATAGTACTTCTTATGAACCACGCCAGATGCCTAGAATTGTGATTACATTCGTATAATGTGTAGAGAAAAAAAAACTGAAATGGTAGAAGAAACCTAATTACATTTGTGAAACCAGCATGCCTATTTAACTTTAATACAGTTAAAAAATACAACTCAACAGAAATTGTGTTACACATCAGTGTAATTCAATTTCTGAAGAACACGGTTACAGTAAGAACTTAACAAACGAAACGTATGTATGGATAAATTAACGGTAATCATTACAATTTTATTTATATAAAACAATCTTATTCCAGTAAGATTATACATTAATAATAATATTCCCAATATCTAATTTTCTGCTTAATTTATTTCTGCTTAATGTATCTTGTATCTTACCCGCTTTTCTATACTCACTGCTACTCCCTGTGCCTCAGTGATTATTTAATGCTGCTGGAACTGTTGTCTGTGTCATCTACTACAACTTGTAAACCACTGCCATTGTCACCGATGTCATTATTTCCATTACCGTTCACACTATCTTCTCACACGCAATGATCTTCAGAACGATCAAAAACATTAGTCATCCTCATTTTCCCGTAGCATTTTACTGCATACAGCACCCATGCATCCAATATCTCCGAGCAAATCAATTAGCAGCGTCTTGTAACACTGAGAGTTTGCCTTAACTTAGAGGTACGTGCGCTAAATGAGTTCACTTCATTGTATTCTGTATATAGGCTATTAAGTTCAAAATTTAATAATTAGGGAATTAATAAGCAATTTCGCAGAGACATACTTTAAGAAGTATGTCTCTGCTTAAATTTTCAAGTTCATTTCAGTCAACCACTGAAAGATAAGAAAGTGAATACAGAACCCTTGGCGAATGTAGGGATTACGTCTTTAACACACTGGGCGTGCGGCAAAATTGCATTCCTCAAAGTTAACGTTTTGTGAGGAAAACGGGTTAGACATGGGATTCAGATTATGCTAAAGTTTTTGAATACCTCTCATGAAGTGGCCTCTCTTTTCTTTATTTAGGTCAAGCTTCATTACAAAATCAGACAGTCTCTGTACCTTTTTTTTAACAACTCGTTAAAGTTCTAGTATGTTAAGGGATTTTTATCTTCTTCACTGTCGCTTGCTTTCACTATCTAGTAGTGTTATGAGATCATTTAAGTCTTTATTGTCATTCCATGATCGTCATTCTAGACTAATTTTTTTATTTTTCTTCTTCCGCATCTGCCAATCTGAGATGATGCCAGCAAACATTCATTGTTGATGCATTCACTTATGTGAGTTTAATCATTTCTATGCCATTAGTGTGTCGTGCTCTCCTTCGTCTCGTGCTTTATTTACAGAGATGTAAACATACCTGGCATAATAGGCTTTGAATGATTTTACGAATCCTTGATCCATTGGTTCGATTAAGGAAATAGTGTTCGAGAAAGGAATAAACCTCTACATTTGGATTCCATGCTGTGAGGGCTTCGGCACAGTGTCCCGGAGCATTATCGAGAATTAGAGCATTATAGTTCAGGTTTTGCTGAACTATAAATAGGTTTTGCAGTGTTAAGCACTATTTGATATCTTTCATGAATGAATTTTCAATAAAAAGGACCATCACAAAACTGCCGACGTTTTGCAGAATTGAAATTCTCTCGCTGAAAAAATTAATGGATACAGAGATGTAAACATACCTGGCATAATAGGCTTTGAATGTTTTTACGAATCCTTGATCCATTGGTTCGATTAAGGAAATAGTGTTCGAGAAAGGAATAAACCTCTACATTTGGATTCCATGCTGTGAGGGCTTCGGCACAGTGTCCCGGAGCATTATCGAGAATTAGAGCATTATAGTTCAGGTTTTGCTGAACTATAAATAGGTTTTGCAGTTTTAAGCACTATTTGACATCTTTCATGAATGAATTTTCAATAAAAAGGACCATCACAAAACTGCCGACGTTTTGCAGAATTGAAATTCTCTCGCTGAAAAAATTAATGGATACAGCAAAGATAACACGTGTACTCAAAACAGCTTTTCGTTAAGTCCACGTTCCTATATTGCAATAAAATGAATTACAGTTTTTTTTAACACACCAAAGAAAATATATTCCAATCGAGGGTTTAATGCTTTGCGTTTGCTGATTTAATTTCCAAATGGTAAAATAGGAAGAATTGGTAAAATATTGGCACTTGAGTTAAATTTGTTTCGAACCTCGTGCAAAACAACCGGTGAAATAAATATTTCTGTTCTTCTTATTGAATAGAAAAGTAAACAGTCTAGTGCTTAGCACCTATTACTTACAACTTGGTTTTGCGCCGTTTGGGAAAACTCATTTTAAATGTAAGTTTTTTTATTCTACTAAGCATAATTGTCGGGAAACTAATAAGCTTACCCTAAGTACTTAGAGTAAATTCTTTTAGGTATTAAACTTTAAGTAATTATGTCTCTTCTTTATCTTATAATTTTTAAATTTTTAAAAAGTAAAAAGAAATAATATTAATTATGAATTATTCGTAGTGTCATGTCGCAGTCTTAAGTTAACAAAAATAAAATAAGTACCTTTATTGACAAGTAAGTCTTTTACCGCAAAGCGTCGCGATTAGTTGGTGTTGAAATTGTTGAAACTACTTTCGGAAGCTGTAGTTCTTAAATGAGAACAAGTCCACAAACCTCGAACTCTTAATTCCTTTTTTTCCAAACTATACATGAATTTTTTTGCCTAGAATTGCGTTAACAGCAAAAAAGGGTTACTAACCTCTTATTTTCGAACAAAAATAAAAATTTCAAGGAAAGTCATTTTGTTTTGATTAGCCAAAGAATTTTTTTTCAAAAAAAGAAGTTCTAAGTTTTCGTTTTACGGAATAAAAGTTATTTTGTGTGTTTTAACTTTATAATCTTAAATGGAATAATAACCAAAAACAAGCGTTTCTTACTTGCATTAAAGAAATTATCCAATATCCAATGTCAATTATCCAAATATCCGGATAACCTGAAGCGTTCGCTCTCATTTGGCTTGCATAGTTTATGTTCTACCGTGCTAACAGATGACAAATATAGCACAATATTTAGTTTTTCGCAATCGTTTTTCAGTTATTTTAGAATTTAAAACTGGATATTTTGCAATATTGCTGTGTTGTCTCTTAATTCCTAAACATTATATATTTTAATGAAAAAAAAAGAATAATACTTACACTTTCTTCTTCATCTTCTTTTCTGATGTGTTCTGCAATGAAGAGAATACTTTCAATAGCTTTCTGAGTTTCTGGAGTGTATGGTTTGTAGCGTGAAGTTCCATTTCCCATCATCATTGCTTCTTCGACAGCGATATCTTGTGGTTCACAGGTTCTTCCAAATCCTACATGAAGACTATCCAGAGGAGCCACCAGTTGCGGACCATTCCCTTCTTCTGCCTGCCTTCTCAATTCGACGCCGTTACAACCTCGCACTGAAAATTTTGGTGGCTCAGTCAACTCGTCATCAGATGCATACAAAGGTCTACGCATGAGCAATAAACGAGGCATTATGTGTATAAACACCCGCTTTACCCATGGTGACATTTCATGGGTAGATGGTGACCTGAAGTGGACATTTAATACCCCAACAGTCACAGATATGGATAATGTCACTAAGATCATTGTAAAGAGTAGATATTTCCCTAGAAGTGGGACAGCAAGGGAGGTGGGTGGTATGATCTCTGCCAACAGCAAAAAGAATACAGTCAAAGACACAAGTATAGAAATACAAAGCGTAACTTTCTCACCACTATCAGAAGGCAGATAAAAGACAAGCACTGTAAGAAAGGAAATTCCAACACAAGGAATGATGAGGTTGACTGTATAGAATAGAGTCTTTCGTCTCATTGTTATATTAAATGTGATATCTGGATAAGGTTCTACACAGCAGTCGTAATATTCTTCGTTGTATTTTGCAGGCACCAACAGTATGTCCCACTCTACGCTTTTGTAGAACTCGCTCATATCTATACCCAATGGAACTAAGCTAGACCCTTCTTCTTGCTTTACATGACGTAAATCTACCTAAAATATAAAGGAAAAAAATATTAAAATGGAAAAATTAAATTTCAGTTCTTATTTTGGTACATTAAATTCAGTACCCACAGAATTTCTGTGAAATGTTCAACACATTATAATGCATTAAGAGAAAAGTTACTGGTAATATTGGTACTGTATTTACCAATAATGCAAGTTTTGATCGCTATGTTTACAAGCTGAATTTCTGTCCACCAGTGCTTTTACTAATAGCGTATGGCAGTTAAAATGTATGTAAATGAGTTGCTTATTAACGACACTAGGCTTTAAAAGATGAACGTTTCATGATAAATGGAATATTATAGTACACATTATGAATTTTTTAATGTTATGATGTTTTTGTGTACCTGGGAAACAAAGGGCATAATAATATCATCTCTTATGCGAAAATTTGAATTATTAAAATGCTATTTATTATTTTAGAAAAAAATAATAAACCAAGAGAAAGAATTCAGTGGGAGATCGTGCTTTAGTGCTATGCTTAGTTTACTGGATTGAACAGTCAGAGATGATCAGTTTCAAACGACGTTTTTTAAGTAGATACGCATGACATTTAAACTAACTACATAGTTATGACAAGTTTTTGCTCTGGAATTATATCAATAACGTAATATTTACTATGGGTAATTTATAGTGTATCTTTATCTGTATTTTATTTTCTGCTCATAATGCCATACGAAGCCTGCTGATATGTTATATAATTTTTTATTTTTTGTGTTATAACAATAAATGGTAAAAAAGACTGGTACTCACGCACAATTTAATTTACCATCTAATTCTTTCAAGTTCTTTTGATGTATGCAAGCTACATAATTTTTCCGTGAGTCTTTTCAGAAAACCTTAAATTTTTAAAACATTTCAAGACATTTATTAGGAAAAAAAAAAAAAGCTGCGTGTATGAAAAACCATACATTTGAAACCAACCTAGCAGGCGTTGTTACTTTTTTGCAATGCAGATAATGTTAACTTTCTGCAAATTAAGTATTGTATTTATTTAATATAAAAGAGGAGTAATTAGAACTGATAGCAAATATTCGTCATACATGTGCTATTTATTTAATAAAATGCATATTTCTATGCCTTAGATATTATCTTAATTCTTTCAAGATAATGTTAAAGGCTGTTATAATTCCAATACTGAATAATTAAATAAGTGAAACAGAAACCACCATATAAGTGCAGTAGAGAATTCATTAAAGAAAAAAAAAAGCTTTTGAAAACAGCTTTAATCTTACAGCTTACTATAAATTCCATACAGTTTATTTTACAGTCTTTCCTTTATGCAGCGAGAAAAATGATCTTCTGAACCATATACATTTCTAAAGAACCTGAATTCACTTAAAGCTTTTAAATGTTTGGAACAGAATTATTTTCTTTAGGTTGTAAGTCCCGTTTAGTTTATTAACCAGTTATTGCTTTCCTCTCCTCCTCGTTTCTCAGTTTCCTACCAGAATGTAAATTTCTAGCTCGCTTATGTTCAAATGAGGTAGAAAGGAGATAGTATTTAAATGAAACTTTTAGAAGGTAGAAACAGAGCGTGTACTGCCTGCTGAACAGGTTTTTAACTTGATTTTCTTGACAGTAGTTTCCTGCTTACTGCGTTATTCTCGCCATCAAGCATGTCCCGCCCACTTTATTAGGTCAGAGCCAACTTGCGAGTTATTCTATTAGTGTAGCCGTTAGGCTAACTTAATTACTTAGTTAAGTTCAGTTTCATTACCTTTTATTTAAGCCATAAATACTGGCTTCGGTAAGCACGAGTGATGTTTTCTGTTAATCGGTGTTTGATTTAAATAAAAGGGTCCTTTACCCCTGATCAGTCTCTGTGGTACTTTACAAGATGTAGTGATAATTCATTTTATATTTTAAGATGTTTCGCACATTTTAAGCTACCAAGAGTTCGAGACCTTACAAGGTCCATTAAAATTTATTATTTTTGCTTTTGTTGATCATTTAGTCTTTTGAAATATTTTTCGCATTTTTTCGCAGTTTTTAATGCATATAATGTACATACTTTTAATAACAATTATGAAATTAATAAATCTCAATATATTAATAACATACCAATAAATATAATTATGCTATTTATATTATTTATATTATTCAATATAATAAAATATATTAATAAATTTAATTCATAACCTAGAAATCTATTATTTCTCTTACTGTAAGTGAATCCTCAGATTTATAGTAGTTTCAGGTGTTTATGTGTTTTAAAAAGAATGTAACAAAATCTTTCATATTTATTCATTTTAAAATTATACTCATACATGCAAATATGTTACTGATGGCAATTTTTTTGCAGTAAAAATATTTCTTTTAAGCATTGCATTTGTGACAAATATCTAGTAGAAAATAGGCTTTTGAGAAAAGTGTAAGTTATATTACACAGGACAGTTATAAAAATAAATCCTAACTAATACGTCCTGAATCTTTGTCGCTTTTCGATCCAAAATCAAGAAGTTTTATCGTCTATTTGGATCACAGACTCCTTACTTTTAAACATTTTTAGGAACACATTACTTAATTAGTTTAATTAGGTCTATCTCTAATACATTTTTGTATAATCTTATCTGTACGTGAAAAGAAATTAGATGCAAGTCTGACAGTTTTATTAAAATTTTCAATACTCAATGGCTAAAACAAATATAACAAGGCAAAGACAGAGTTCAGTTTTATCGAAGCGGTACTGTAACGCCGAACACAGCGAAAGTTGCCGTTTCTCGCACGGAAATTTGGAGTCATTGTCTCCTGATATGTGCACGGTAGCAGCTATACTTTGTTACCAACTGGTGTAGGCAGTATGACTTTTTCTATGATGCTCGGTTTTATGAATGTTTGATTGACTTCTATGGACTTCAAAAACTTTATGAATTTTGTTTTTAATGTTACTCCATTTTATCGGCCCAGAAGGGCTATTAGTCTCGAAAGTCATTTTGTTTCTGTTCATTATAACTGACTTTTTCTCTATTCAAATAATTGCCACCAAATATTATCGCCTGGTATTATATTTAAAGAAATTAAATAATGAAGAATTTGCATGAATGTATGTATGTTTCTCTCACTGTAAAAATTAACGGTACCTAGAAGCATCAAATTCTGAATAACGTAGTCATCCACCCGAATATGGGAACATGGAAGCTTGAATTTGGAATTAGAAATATATTTATTGTCTATTTCATATCTTGTAAATTTTAACAAATTTTTAATTAACAAACTCAAAGATTTCAAAGCAAGGAATGGCAGCACTGTACAGGAAGAAAAAAAATCTCCAGCGCCCAAAGGGACATTAGTCCAAAATGCTTTCGAAACGTGTATGTGTATGTAAATAAGAAGACTTCCGTTTGGGTACAATATAAAATCTGAAATCTCTCAGATTATTTTTTAATTTTAATTTTTATTCCTTCTTCATGTACATATATTTCAAAATTAATGTGTTCAACTTACATACTGAGATATGAAAAATTTAAAACTGTTGTTTTTATAATTTAAAAAAAAATTATTTAATGATGAATGAAGGATAAAACTCGGCAGTCATTTGTAAAAACCGTGTGATTCACATTTATCGTCAACTGAACTGAAGTAAATCTCAAAGTATAATTTCTATCACGGATTCTATTACAATTTCATGTTTATTTGTCACAGGATTTTTTAGTTTCTTCATTTGTATACGATTAATCTGAGCAAAGTGTTTTTTTTTTTCAAGGTTCCTTAATGTACATTTAATGATTCTCTTCAGATATCAAAATTTGAATTAGCAAGAAATTTAACAAATTTAATAAATAATAAAGTTAATTATTTTTGTAAATAGTTTTTACCCGTTAACATTTTTAAACGACTTTGACGGACGGAAACGTTTCCACCGTAATATATTTAACAAAGAAAATACTCAGTAAACAGTCATAGTTTGTATCTTTCCCAATGTTTCCAGATTGAATTTGCTGAAATATAAAAACTTCCATTTAAACTCAATCATTCCATTTCTTTACTTTCCCATTTATAACTGGAAAATCTACGCCATCTATTCCATTTATAATTTAAAAACATATGATATTTATAGTTTACACTAACTTAATTACTTAGTTAAGTTCAGTTTCATTACCTTTTATTTAAGCCATAAAATCTTAAATCTGGTACGTTACACATAAATTAATTGTAAGTAGTACTGATGGATATTACACGTTTATGAGAAGCTCTAACATACCGTAAGCGAAATACTGGAATTTACAACCTGAAAAAAATCATCAGTATAAATAAATACCTCCATAACGATCTGCAGAAATACATTCAATTCTGTTCTTAAAACAGATCTTCTGATTATTCATACGCGTGCGAAGTGTTAACCTGATTTAAAATAAATCCAATTTAAAATTCTTTCAGAGCTTTAAAATTGGGCTGTTAGTGAGGCCTTCATTATTTTCACCGTATAATTTATTTTTCATAGAAGGAAATTTACCTAAATTCATAGGTACTCCCCAATTTTCGTTAAATAACTTAACGCATTGCTAAACATTCGAGATCCATCACTTAGTATCATATCATTAACAGCTAACTTCTGATATGTCTCAATGTTACGCGCACTATATTTTACTTTCTACTGACACTGAGGTTTAAATAGAAACAGAGTATTAGAAATGAAAATTTATATTTACACGCTTGCACTGGGAATCGTATTAGAACTTTTCATCTTCAGCAGTTAATAGTTACATTTGTTAATCAATTTTTTATCGTAAGAAAAATATTTACTACAAATTATTTTAACGTAATGATTACTACTTAAAAATACCGTGATGTAGTAATAGCTTTTTTGTAATATACGCTGTAATGAAAATTAAACTTCTTATACTAAGAATGCACTTTTTATCATGTATATCGTATCGCTTGAAAGAAATAATGTAATAGAGTTCATTTTTATTTCTTTATTTTAGTTTATGATGGAAAATGTTATGAGGATTATATACTTATGGCAAAGGATGCTTTCGTAGAGG